TGTTTTTCTCTCTCCCTGATGCTCACAGCCAAAGCCCTAACACCCATCCATGATGCACAGACACACATCAGCGTAGTCGGCAATGCCTTTCAGAAACAGCAGGCGAGGGCACACCTCTCACAGCCTCTCTGCCCGTCCCTGCCAGGGCCCGGTTCCCCCTGCAGTGCCGGTGACTGACATGTCAACCCCCCAATGGGACAGGATGTGGCAGGACCGGCTCCTGTGTGACCCATCAGACAACCAGCAAGAGTGGCTTCGGGATGCTCAGAGCACTGTCATCAGCATAAGCTGACTCAGGGAGCAACGCCTGACCCAGCTGCACGAGAGGACACGCTCCCCATCATGCCTTTCTGCGTGCCCCCGCGGCCAGGGCCTCTCTGGCTGCCTCCTCCCGGGAAAGCGCAAGGCCCACGCCGACCAAGCACTGTGGGATCGATCTGCTGGCTGCACACAGACCTTCACGGACGCCGTTCCGATTGAATATATAGAGATACAGCGTACAAGGCATGGAGGCCCTCACCTTCGCTAGCGAGCGCTCCAAAGCAATCCCGAAACATCTCCTGCAGCTCATACAGAGACCAGAATAATGATACAAAAACTTGGAATTTTTCTTAAAACCTATTATGTGTTGGCCAAAAAACACAAAGTATTCAGTATTAAAAAAAAATCTGATGATGATCTAGGGACCAAAAAACATAGCGGCCACAGCACCAAGGTCTGGGTAAAGGTGCCAGTGTGCGCTAAGGCGAGTGCCAGCAGGCTGGCCCTCCGCCCAGGCCGACAGAAGACTCCCGGGGACACTTGGAGGCACCCCTCCAGCTGCTGGGGGCACACGGGCTCGTTCAGCAAGCAGCTCTGAGCTGCTTTGTCCCAGACAGTGAGCGACGCACCGGGAGCCCCCACACCTCAGGAATGTCCTGGCAACGACGACAGCTCTACTCAGGATGATACCGCTGCTGTCCGGTTTGGAAAAGGGGGGCCAGGAAGCCATTCATCGTTCCCGGATGAAGAAGAGCTACGGGGATAGCCTGCAACGTCACACGCCGCTCCTGACAATGGTGGGGAAAGGTAACGGCCGCTTGAGTTCAGATGGGCACCAGAGCCCGGCTGGCGTGGCTCGGTGGTGGAGCGTCAACCCATGAACCAGGAGGTCACGGTTTGATTCCCGGTCAAGGGCACATGTCTGGGTTGCGGGCTCGATCCCCAGTGTGGGGTGTGCAGGAGGCAGCTGATCCATGATTCTCTCTCATCATGGATGTTTCTCTCTCTCACCCTCTCCCTTCCTCTCTGACATCAATAAAAATATATTTAAAAAATAAAAACCAGGAGAATGGAGTCCCTGGCTTATCTGCCCGGCTCCCCCGCCAACATCCCTCAAGACTACGTCACGGAGCCTTCCTCCTCCTCACTTGCCTTCTACAATCCATTTCCTGCTGCTGGTAACTTTTCTTCCTCCTCCTCCTCGTCCTTACCCATGTTTCACTTTCTCTTATTTCTAACAAGCTTTAGTCCTCCCTTATTTCTAACAACTTAAAAAAAAAAAAAAAGGTGGAACCAGACGCAGAATTGTTTTTAAACTGAAAGGGACTTTAAGAATGTCTCGGGTGAGAAATCTGATCACTGGAGAGCTTAGGTGACTGGGCCAGGGTCACCGGGTCACTAGAAGGGGAGCCGGATTCTGGCGGTCTTTCCACCCCTCCACACCCCACCTAACTCTCCCCGCGCGCGTCCTGCGCTCTCAGGCGTGACCGGCTCCCTTGTGCTTCTGAATTGCGCCTCGTGCAGCCCCCTGAGCTCTCTCAGCTCTCCTGTGGGTGGTGGTTTCTGTAGGATTTAGCACCAAAAAGATTTGCACAGGTGTCATCTGCGAGTGAGCATCGCGAGGAGAAGGGGACCGCTCAGCCTGAGCCGGGAGGACCAGGGGCCTTGCAAGGCTCGGGGAGCCTCGTCCGGGGTGATTTGTGCGTGATCTCTGCTGAGCGGAGGGGGCGGCAAGCAAGTCCTTGTCTCCTCGCTAAAGGGGGCTCAGCGAGCCTCCAAATCCCACTCCCAGGTCAGGGCTGCGATCAGAGGGCAGCACGTGGGTCAAGTCCAAAGGAAGGACCTGGAGTGACCCTGGGCTGTGGCACCCTCCTCCCGGTTGGGCACCCAGCTGCAGGCCGCTCATGCCCAGTTCAGGGGAGGAGCCTGGCCGGGGCGAACAGGAGCAGCCGGCAGCCGGCGGGAGGCAGCTCACATGAGGCTACACCCTCGCACCCCTCGGGCACGGCCTGTCGGGCTGCGGATGTGGGGATGCAGTGGCCTGCTGTGGCCCCGTGGGCCGAAGGGTGGTCGTTTCAAGACTCATTCAACCACAGTAGGCCCTTTAAAAATAAATAAGTGAATAAATAGGGGAACCTGCGCCAGTGCTTTTCGGGCGCGTAGAGAGGCTGGGAGGGGCGAGGAGGCCAGAGACGCACCCTGGGCCTGAAGTAGCCCCGGGCACCTGGGCCTCAGGATCGCTCGCAGTGATGAAGGTGGGAGGGAGACAGGGCGTCCCCTTGGAGCCCAGCCCTGCCCAGGCCAATGGACCCTCAGAGGCAGTTGTCCCCACCCTTCCCCGCCCCCATCAAGGCCTGGGAGAGCCGTCCTGGAACTCCAAGAGGGACTGAGAAAAATGCCACAGTGACAGCGCTTAGAATCCAATGGTTTAAGAGGTATATGGGGCCAGAGGTCAGCAAGCACACCCCTCCTCTTGCAGGTGGGGAAACTGAGTCACGGCACGATGAGTCCACACCCTGTCTCGCTACAGGAGGAGTACGCACGCCCCTCCCCCTCCAGAGCCCCCCAGCCCCCTCCATTCCCCGCGCTCTCCCCACCTCCTTCCCGATCCAAACCCAGGCCACCATGTAAAGCAGACTCTACACGGCCCAGCAAGAGCAATAAGCGTGAAGCGCCCCCGGACCCTGTCCGCCACCCTTTCTCTTCTGCTCTCACAACAGGCAGCTGGCACTTTCCCTCGGGCCCTGGTGACCCAATCCAGGCACACATCGCCCTGAGCCACCAGCCCGAACCCCGACTGTGCCCTGCGTGCAGCCCCACCAGCCCCCAGCACCGAGGGCCTCCCGTGGAGGGGGGTCACTGCCACAGAGCAGCAAGGGGTGTCAACCCAAAGTGCGCCCCTCAGAGGCCCTCAGGGCTGGACAGCGGGCACCGAGAAAACCCCCGGCAAGCTCCAGCCCCCCACCCCAGCCGACAGTCCGAGCACAGCTCTTCTGTTCGAATACAAACACTTGTCGGTCTAAAAAAAGAAGGGAAATCACAAACACAGAAGTCAGTCCCGAGCTCCACACCGGAGGCCCACGCTGCAGGTGACCAGGCGCCCCGATGAGGACGGTCCCTCCGGCGGACGGGGCAGGGGCAGGCCAGAGGCCCCCGGAGGCCCCGATGGGCAG